GGCTCAACAAAGAAGACCAAGGATGTAGACTATTGTAGACGACATATTCCGTTTTACCAGCAGGCCACTGGATGGTCCTATTTTTGGAGCAGCCATCTAAACAAGCCTTCTCAGGTTGCTCGTCTGAATGTACTGACGCCAATCCACGGCCGAATCGGCTGGCCTTCTGCACTAAAAGCCCTGAGCTGTGCGTGCACCACAGGTGCAGGGCCTGGCCACCCAAGCATCATGCGACTGGCATACGGATAAGTTCTCTTATATATTGCTAGGCTGGATCTGACTCCGTGCTTCATGAAGGTGGGAGACATGGATGGGCCTGCTGTTTGAAATGGTTGGCTTTTGAGGATTTCCCTGCCCAGTCCCCACAATCCCCTTCCAGCCATACATCTGGCTGCATGCACTTGGCGCTTGCCGGGGGTTGTGGCTTGACTGTCAAATCCCCGGTCGCTGCCGCTAAGGTGGCACTGGCAGGTCGAACCAGAAAATCCGCAAACCGAAACAAAACACACCGAAGGACACGGGACAAAGAGGGCTCTTAACTCTTGGTGTCAACCCAATGCGCTCTCCAAACGCCAGGGATATCCGATCATGCCGATCATCCCTGGGTCCGCGGGCAGCACCAAAGCAGCGGGTGCCCGCTTCATTCGTGAGGACGAAGCCGTGCAAGGCGTCAAAGGTCTCATAGCTGGGGCAACATCCAGCAAGGAACAAATCATTGGGGTCTCTCCATGCTGATTCCAACACCCGGGTCAAACATATCCTGTAAATCCCAGTGCCATTTGGGTTTCCAAGTTGGTGGCTAGATGAGTGGCTACAGGCAAGGAATCCTCGCAAATGCAGGTGACCCCTGCCGGTGCATGATCAGTGAGCATCGGGGTATTGATTGCCCTTGACAGGTCATTTGCAAGGCTCTACTCTACACGGAGCCGAACAGGAGCGCACACTTGGGTGAGATATCAAGGTGAAGTCATGTAGAGTCGCCAGAACTAGGGCTGTTGTTGCTCGTGTTGGTTCAAGCGGCCACGAGCCCAAGAAAACAAATTTAACGGGATATGCAGCGTGCTATTCTTCAAGGACCTGTCGGTCGTTTGCCTCAAGCTACAGCTATGTCTCATTTGGACTTTGAACTCAGAGCCTTGAGGCAGGATTGGTGATGAGAGATGTTCTCCAACCGGAAAAGCCCAAGCCTCTTCCTCTGCAGGCACCACTTTGGCGCCTGGGCAGGCGGATGAATCCTCCCGCGCGGAACATGCCGAGGGGCGCTAGGCGAACGGAAATGCATATCCTGCTTCATGACGTGTGTCTGGAGGCGTGGTGGTTGTGGAAGAAACCATGCTAAAACAAGGTTTTGCAACATGAGGGTGGTTCGTCATATGATCTCGGGCAGGATATGAAATGGTATGCTTACGAATGAGCCAAACTGTTGGAAGGAATATATAATATATATCAGTTAGTTTGCCTGTCATGGACCTGGATGCAATCATGAGACATGTACACAGTAATTATGAATTATGACATATATAAGCTATATTTACAGAGCTGTACGACTAGGACCTAGATGAACCGTACCATGCAGTGGATGTTTAAACAATTGAAGGCACAAGTTGGACCCCCAAAACCATGTAATTACCATTTCAAGGCGGTCGAAATCTCTACAACAATTATGTAATGTTTAATGTGCACGATCGATATAAGGCTTAGAGATGTACCGTGCGGTCAAGTGGATGAACGCTACTATGCGGAGTGCTCATTTTTTCCTTCCACTCTCTCAAACAAATGGTTGGGAAGCGACCTGAATAAGACTCGCCATTAATTTGGCCTGGTCCAGGAAAGACAAACCAATCGAGTTTGCATCTAACATGTGTCTCGAGATGCAAGGGGTTGCAGAAAAGAACAAAAAATAACCTTGCGGATGGCCGGCGGGAAAGGATGGGAAAGGATGTTGAACTTTGATGAACTTTGTATTTTGGCAAAACCTGGTTCAACCAGAATGCCCAGAAATAGAACACTTATATAGACACTAATCTTGTAACAACTTGTGCCTGTCTACTTGATGCTCCACCACCCCCATCTTCTCGGCCCAGTGCCCTCTTCCCGCCTCCACGCGGAAAGCAAAAGGATGCCAGTGCCGGTGGGAACCTGCAGGCTCAAGCTCTTGAGCGGCTTGAGCGTTCATTCTCTTTTGGCGTTCCACGTGCAGTCGAATCCTCTCTCCCTCCATCAAGTCAACTGGAGTAACTGGAGTCATCCCTCCAACCGTGTGCAGCTTGGTGTCGATCTTGCGAAGTATCTAGATCTCGTCCACCTACGGGGCCACATGAGGTGAAGATGGCACCGGCCGCGCCTCGCATCCGGGGAATCCTCCTTGGGATATCTCTGCAGGATGGAGACCGGGAGCACCTGACCCGCCTCAGCCTCAGGCGACTCAGCAAACACACAGACTGGCATCGCAACAAACAGCGGGTGAGTATCATGAGTACAAAGTAGGTGGCATATATCCTAAACCTAAGACTAGGAAGAGACCATCTTGAATGCACTGCACAGGAAAGCCCATAAGCTGCACAATAGCCCTTATTTTGGAGGCAAACTTCTTGGCCACCTACCGGTGCATCGGTATCCTCTTTGGCACCGATAACCGCAAAGTACCTGCAAAGCCGCTTGAGGCAAAGCCCCAAAAACCTCGTCAAGCAAACCTTCAGAAATACCTCGAGTCCCTTACTTAGCAATAATCTGTTAGCTAGGTTCGGTACTTCTCTGATCTAGTGACTAGTGCAAGGCCTTTGGATGACCTTTCAATGAATGGATCGGAACCCTGGGATGAACTATGACAGCAAAGCCTGGAGCGTTCCTGACGATGGCCTGATGGCATGCTCTGGCTGTGGGAAGCCGCCATCCATCAGGGCTGCGCCTTGCGATCTATCGACCGGGTTCATCCAGTACACTAGGTCATTAGTCTAGGCCATTCAAAAAAAGCTGGAAGTGCCATGAAAAGGATCCTGACGATCCACATGCCCCCCCACCTTAGTCTGGCTCATCAGCCCATCGCTTGGTTCCCGGGTTCCCGGAAGAGTCTTGGAACGGACTGCCACGCTGTCTGACGTTGTGGGCGCTCCATGGTGTGGGCTCCCCAATCATCTCAAGTGGTCCAATCTGTCATGGGTGCTGGCTGCAAAAGAAACGAAGCTCCCGTTATATACTTATACATACAGTATACTATACAGTATATGTGCACACGTATACATATATGTATCTTCCTTGTGTCCAAACCCCAAGTCTCGAACTAGTAAGTGGAAGGTGTACGCTAAACGAAGCTAGGCTCTTCTTTCACGTGCAAGATGGTCTCAAGTGCCTCGGCTGCCTTGAGTTAAATGATGGCTTCCAAACACGCTGGTAGTGGCGACACCACCGCCGTCAAAAATCAACTGAAAGGTGCCCTGGCCCATCAAAAATCACGGGCTACTTATCAAGTTGCCTGGATTGTTCAAAATCCATGCCTGCACTGGCACCATGACAGCTTGAGGATGAGGATGAGGATGAGGATGATGATGATGATGATGATGATGATGATGATGATGATGATGATGATTTGTCAAAGTGCGGCTCTCCGGATTCTTCCGACACTTCTTCTGCTTCGCACTGGTCACTGAACATCATTGAACTATGCTCCTTTATCAAGACGCCTGAGTAAATATTCATACATCTTGCCGCGCCCCCACCCGCCTCAACGTTACCAAACTTTTTCCTTGTCGAAATCACGCTCTAACAAATTTTGTGGGCCTCACCTTCCTTTCAAGGTTGGCAAAGGCAGATCTTTGATGTATATATATATATCATATATAGCGCTAAATAGCCGTTCGATCTTACCAGTTGTGGTCAGTCCACCATTAACAACTCTGGCCAAATCTGCATCCACGAGTGGGCCAAGAAAGCAGACGAAGTGCACGACTCCCAGATCGTGCATCCCAGATCTTCGATCTTCTCAAAGTGATTGTTGCGAGGATGCATAGAACTATGTATATATATATATATTCTTTTGAGACGTTTGATTTTTTGGGGGGGAGAGTTGACTTTCGAAGCCATGGGTCCAGAGATGTCCAGAGTGCCCTCCATGCGCCGCTCAGGCACGTAGGGGGCATGGCTCCCGAACGCAGGCGCACAAAGAGCGTGGCCTCAGTGAAGGGCGAGCAGGGCGAACAGGGCTGGCGGTGTTCTCTGCTCCTCGGACTTTTTGGATCGCAAAACAGGGGATGTTGATGGAGCTTCATGTTGTACAATGCTCTGGTCAAAGGTAGCAGCCAGCAATTTCAGCAAACAGTTGGGGATATTGGACGTTCACAGCCAGGTCAATCGTTGTGCCTTGGCCGTGGAGTCGGAAACCGTGCCCTGAAACCGCCGTTTCCCTATCACCAGGGATAGATTGTCTGAATGTGTCTGAATCTAGGAGGCATATATGCACACACACACACACACGTCAGGAGAGTGCCCTTTTTTAGCTTCCTGAAGCCATTGAGGCCAGGTCTGGAGACATCTGCTGGTCCGCTGCTGGTTTCAGCGCGGATCCATCAAGGGGGTTTACAATGCTGCCAACCGCTTGCGACATTTGACAAGGCTTCTTTTGTTGGCGTTTGATGATGGTGCGTCCAAAAAAAGGCACCCTAGGACCCTAAGTCGCCTCCAGCGTCCCTAAGACAGTTGTCATCTCAGGATATCGCGATGTGGAGCGGTACTGCTCCGCTTGAGCATGCTCAAGCGCACATCTTCTTGCAAAGCATGACGTTGTAAGCCACGACATCCAGCGCACTCCTTTGTTCGTTGGTTGATTCGATTCGTCCAAGAGCGTCTTGCATCAACAGATCTTATCATTGATTAGCCGCTGATTAGCCTGGATGCCCCAAAATGGCTAATATATTAAGTTATTATATCATATATATGTGTGTGTGTGTGTCACACCCTGATTCTAAGGGTTCCCCACCTTCACGTTTTTCACTTTGACAAGAGTCTCACAAGCAGGGGCACTGAGCACTCCTTGGCAAACTCAGTGCAACGAAGCTATGCCTTGGAGTGGGAAGCACGGATTGATCACCCGTGTGTACCTGCAACAATTTGGAACTGTTGAACACGCTGTCCAAGCTCTTTTTGTTTCCATGGTTCTTCATGCTACCTACCCCTCAAACCATTTTCTTTCAGCCACTTTCAGCGTTATGCATTTTCAGCCGCTTGTGCAGTGCGAGTGAAACAATGTTTAACACTTCAAGTCACCGGACCCTTTCACCTTGCTGTTCCATCGCCTTCCTTCCCATCGTGGCAATTGAACTAACTGAAAACCCAAGTTCGAAGTGTGTGCGTGCGTGTACATCTAAATCTATACATATCGAGCCACTGACTGTGGATTGGCAAAATTCTCAACAAATTAGGACAGTTTGGCAATCTTGGTATCTCAGCGGTTCTTTTGTGCATGGCGCTGGTTCAAGGGCTCAAGGGATCAACACCGAGGCACTCGAAGCACACTGACGAACCGATGAAGCCAGTGTTTCTCTGGCCCTGGAGGTCCAAGATCTTCCATAAAAGACCTGGGAAAGGCTCAACATGAGGCCGGTGCAATGACCTCTGATGCCGTCAGGAACTGGAAGTGCTCAAGTCAGGGGTTTGCTTCAGTTTGGTTCCTGGGACACTCTCTAACTAACATCTTCGCAGCAACGCCAGGGTCCTACGGTATGAGAATAGGACAGCTGGAATGGCTAGGCACCAGTGAAACACAATCCCCATCCATGGATCCGAGAAGGCCGATCCCAGGGCCTTCTCGGAGTGTCTATATATCAACCCCTCCGGTTCCCGCAGCACAAACCGGCGTCTCTTCAGCAAAAACCGTTTCTGGCCTCCAGAATTGCTACAGTGGTTTCAGAGGTTCCATGGCACAGACCCCATAATGATGTCCGGTATATAGATGAGGAATCATTGAACACTGACTCCCCAAAAAAACGTTAAAAAAGACAACTCTCGGGGTGTGTGCCATCTACTCAATCCACTATTGAAGACATAGGAATACACACGTCCACTCACACGTCTATGTATGAGGCATATCCGCTTCACCAGGCCTTCTCGCAGGCCTTGGGCATCAAAGCGGGAGAAGTAGTCCCACGGCTTCTGGAGCAAGACATCCACCTTCCTCGTCCCAGCGGAGAGCAAGACGTCCAACCCACCGGGAGACTCTGTAGGTGTGTTTTTGTTGGGGGGGGCACAGGTGGTTAGCACCACCCTAGAGTAACATTGAATTGACACATTTCAGGGATAAACCCAAAAGACTGAAATGATAGGAATGCAACAGGATGAACGATCATTGACGTCCGTTGTTCAAAGCACTGATGGCCGATGTATGTGCGACATTATGCTACATGGCACCTGATGGCTGGACGGCGCACAGCCGAGGCTCTCTTCCCCTGCGGTCGTCAGATTCTCGAGGGTGGTCAGCAGCTTGGAGGCGTCCCCCGACTCAATCGGGCGGTCCATGTATTGATAGGCGACGCGGAGCTCAACTCCATTGCCTCAACACCGCGCTTAGCACTTCACGCGAGCACAGCACATGAGTGGACGCAGGCGCAAAATGGAGTCCAGTAATGAGTCGAAGCAAAGAGCGATTGAACATGTTTGAAAGGTCTGATCAAACCTGCAATGCCTACCAGGTTGCTGGGCATGCTGGGCCTGGCGACCATGCGGCTATTCCGATGCCCATAGAACTGGGCGACCGGTTTGCCCGTCGAACCGGGCGGGCTCACTGGGTTGCCCATCCTGCTAAACCACCACTCCACGGTGTGTTCATGCTCAGTGGTCTTGCCCTTATAGAGCGTTGTGGTCAGCGAGGACGAGGTCAGCCGTCCGAAGAGTTGCTCCTCTTCCGGGTCCAGGTCAGTGATTAAGTTCCGGAACCTGAAGGCGGCTCATCGCGTTCGCGTTCAGCTGCCAAGGATGGGTTGAAGCTGAATGAGTAGATAGGGAAAGGTTCCAGGGTGGTTATTGCATTGGGTTTTCGCCCTGAATGATGGTCGGTTATGGTTGCCCTCTGTGTGCGTCATCAAACCATCAATATATATTAATATATATATATAACTGGTGCAAATATGACATCCATGCAACGGTCGAGTCTTGCTACCCATGCACTTCCTCTATGCCAGATTCTGCAGTGGTGCACAACTGGCGTTTCTTGTCGCACAATTATTCACCCGATCTTGAACATAGTCTATGTGCCCCTGAAGGGCATGCTTAGATTCCTCTTTGACTGAGATCACACCCCAGCGAACAATGGATGTAAATGGATTGGATCAATATCTGGTGAATACCACACTTGCAGCACCTGCGGAGATCAATGGCGCTGATGAAGATGTCGGCCTCCAAGGTCTTTTCGACACCTGCCAGGCTCCCAGAGTCCATCAGGGCCCAGGTACTCAGGGCCCAAAAGACCGGCAAAAAGCGAACTCAGACGACACAACTCCGGGTGCCCGATGTGATTTTGCCCCACTCCACGGCCACTTCGGCCACTTCATTCCACTTTTGAAACGGCATTCGGGGCCGTATCCAACCTACCCCCTACTGCTACGTCCATTCTCTTTTTCTCTGCTCCTACGCATCTCCTACTCCCCCACTCCTCTCCTATTCTCCTCCCCTCTCCTCTCTTCTCGACACCATTCAGTGCCACTGCACGTCACTTCAAGTGGCATTGAGTGCCAGTCAATCATACTAGACACGACAATGTATACTTTGACACCAAGCCTCGTTAACACCACCAACCTTCCTGCTCACCAATGACACGCCTCGTTTACACATGCACGCGTCCTGTTCCTTAGTGGCGTGACGGTAGACGCCTCACCGGACACCAGGTAGATCCAGGTAGTGCCACTTCGTGCCACTCCATGTGGCGCGAAGCAGGGTAGAGCGGAAAAACATCGAAAATTCCATCCAGTGACCTCTATGCAGACCAGTGCACACTCCAGGCGAAACAAAAAATAACAAAATAGTAATACAGCAATTGGTCTTCCAAGTCGATTCTCTCCACTCGCTTATTAGCACGTGGGTATGACGGAAGTGTTCTCTGCACTACACATCGGTCTCTTGCATGAAGTGTTTTACAGACTGCAATGCATACTGCTCATCTGCAATTTTCTCATGATCGGTTAGGGCCATTGGTGTGGAGAGGTGGCTGCAGGGGTGTGGATCCAAAAACAGAATCGATTGAATCGGCTGCAGCCTTGAAGTCTCTCCAAGACAGATTCAATGCAGCCACAAACCACATGTGGACTCATTGGTCAAACTAAACAAGGAAAGCACCTACTGCCTAGAGCCGCTTTGGCCAAATTGGAGTAGTGCATAGGATATGATTTGATGCCATGCGATGCCGGTTTTGTGCTGTTGTTTTTGCTCTGCATGTGTTGCTTGTGTCGTGTTTTAGCTCCATTAAATCCGATGCACATCAGAATGCAAAGGAATTCCAAGAACCACTTCGTCCTCAAGGTGATCGTGAGGGACTTCTTATGACCCCTTACAGGCCATCTCATCTTGACTGAGTTTGACCTGGGTGACTTTGCCGATGCCCGTGATCCAGTGATTGGCCCCTCCTTCCCAATGGTGACCATAGGATTGGGATGGAATGGCTTCAGGAAGGTTCGCAGTGAGAGAGGCCACTTTGCTTGGATTTGGGCTGCCCAAGTTCCTGGTGTTCCTGGATTTGGTCTGTCTCTCACACGTCGTTAGTGCTGATCTTTTCCGCGGTCCACCTGCCTCCTTCTCCACACAACGCGCTCCGCACACTCGGTCGTTGAGCTACCTCCAGGCCGGGGATCCAAGATTGCGTCGGATGCTTGAGAAGGCCTACTGCAATGATGCAAGGCTTGGCACTCAAGCCAAGGAGAAGGGCCTGAAAGGCTTGTACAACAACCCTCTCAAGTCAGCACATGTAGTAGGCGTTGAAAGGCCGTTCTTTGAGAGGCCGTGTTCAGCACAAACGAATCCTCGGGGAAGAGCAGTGCCACACAAGATGGATGGTCACCGACCGATGCAGCGGCGTCAGCGGCAGGAAGCCATCATCCAAGCTCGCAATTGGCCTGAGATCGATCCAGAGCATGCATGGAGGGCTTTTCCAAAATTGCCGCAGAAGGCAAGAGGTCCAAATGGAGTGAGCTATGCCCTGTCAAGGAACCTTGCTTGCGAAGGTGTCCACACCTATGGCAGCTATGGCAGCTATGCATCGATGGGGCAGTAGGAGTGTGACGCAGCTTGCCCCTGGACCAAGGACGTGTGGGTCGACGACATCTCTGTCGACTTTGAACTGTGATCCCAAAAATGAAGTTGCCGGGGAGGCTCTCCAAATCCACACCAAGCTTGAAAGGCTCTCGGACACAAAGGGGCCCGATGTCAGTGTGGATAGAAGTGACTTCCTAGCCCTATTAGCCTCTACAGCTGAAGTTCCACGGAGCACCCTCCATAAACGAAATCCGGGACTCGTCTGCCAGGAGGTGTCGCACGATGGGCACCAGTGCAAAGCACTTGCGCATGCTGAAAGGAACGAGCAGATTTGCCAGAACAAAGGCGCGCCTGTAGCAAAGTTGGAAATGGTATCGATGCCCTTTGCTACTAGTAGCTTCTTGTTACTAGTAGCAAGAATGCTCCTAGTAGTACGGCCAGGAGCCCCTAGTAGCGTCCGTGCTCCTAGTAGCGATGCCCTTTGCTACTAGTAGCTTCTTGTTTGCTGAATGCTGGAAATTTGACTTGTCGACCGGTGAAGGTCAGACTTTGGAAAGACTCTATCCACTCAGCATTGCGCCACCAGCGGCGTGGGAAACAACACCTCTGCTGGGATGCTCTCGGCCGATGTGCGTGACCTCCAAACAACAAAAGGTGGATCAGCCAAGATCTTCTCTATGATCATTGTGATCTTCAAGGTCCACATGGCACTGCTGTGAGGCAGCTTCATGCCTTCCGCAGCGCTCCATGCAGCCTGGCCGGAGGATGGACAGGATGGCCGACGGTCACTTCCAAGTGGGAACGCTTCAAAGCAGCTGTCCACCCAGGCAAGTGGTGTCCGGCCCCATGCCTGCGCTTCAGGCCTATTTCCATCCGGATCTCGCAGTCATTGTTGGGACTTGATTCGGCCAGCGACGCACGCCACGCCGGAGTTGACGAACGTGAAACTGCCGGGTGAGCGTGAAACTGCCGGGCGCATGGACAGGATTCGGAAGCATCCTTTCTGTGAAGAGGTGAGCTCCATGATTGACTGGACCCACTACAAGCATCATCGTGGCAGGTGCAAATCGAAGCAGGCAACAGACTTGCACTCTGGCGCAGCGGACTTGTTCAGTTGCCTAGGCAGCCAACTGAGCTCGGTGACAATTCCTATAAGTGCACATGGATCATGGATGGTCATGGCAAAAGGATGGCCATCGACTTTGCTTCCTTGCCAACGTGTCTTTCTGCCAGTTGCACCGATTTGGAGTGACGCTAGAGTTTGTTCGGTACGACCTGCGGTTGGCTGATCAGTGGCTGATCCATGGAGCCTGTACGAGCATGGCAAAGCGGAGAGCTGACATCTACCACAATTTGGGCACTTGTGAGTGGCCAGGCCCAAGCACGAGCCCAAGCTGAATGCCCCAGTAAGATACTTGCGAAGCTGGCTGAGGACGATCATGAGCATGATGCCATCTATCTATGCTGCGGCGATCAAGAGGGTCCAAAGACACTGCTAGCTAGATGCTGCTAGATGCCCTGGAGAACCTACGGTGTCGCTAGGGGAGATGTTCAAGGAGATGGTGCAGAACAGTGCTGCAGAAGGCCACTTAAATATGGACCCTTGAAACCAGCTTCACAAAAATGAACAGTGCTGGTGCAGTAAGGAAGCCTTGCCGACCCTCCGCGATTCCACTTGTGTGTGTGTGACCCCTTTGTGCTAAATACTCACCACCCAATGCCTCGGTCAAAGATGGCAAGCACTTGAGTTGTGAGCGATGCCACAAAATGACATAGAATGAGAAGGGCAAGTTTCAGGAATAGCTGGCAGTGGTCTGCAACCTGCCCAGCAGCCAGCAGAAGCTGGCATTTGCCACGGGCTCATTGTCGTGAAGATCGCACTTTTAGCAAAGGCCATGCGTGAGCTGAGGAAAGGGAATAAACACCGAGCAAAAAAAAAGAGAGAGGACTGAGAGAAGAGACTGGTGTGGGCTAAAAGTCCCGTGAACTTAGTTTTTTAATACCCTTAAAGCACCTCATAAAGCCTTAACAAAAATTATATAGTAGAGCCCTCGACGTTTATCATGGTATCTGAGCATGTGTCCTAAACAAGACTCCGCCAGCGGAGCGGAGCCTGCGTGCATGTACTTCACCTCCACCGTGGGCGTGCGTTTCACACCGGTGACCTTTGCACCAGTGATGTAGTTCACCTCCGTGCTATGCCGCTCCACCATCTTCTTCCAAAGCGATTGATAGCCGTTCTTCAATACGGAGACCTCATGTCTTATTCTGGGGCGTCCCACAGAAAAGAATGCAAAGGGTCTGTATCCCTTGATGCGCATGGCATGTCACTGCTTGAATACCAGATACACCTCCATCCAGAATTCCATGCCGTACGAGTAAGGCCAAACTCGCCCGCTATGGCGGACCTCCTGAGCCCCGGGCCAAATACTCGCCCGAGCCCAGGAAACCACGGACGGTACCGTTGATGACATCGGGGTGGTGCCACCAAAGAAGATAGAAAGCTGGGATCTGGTCCAACAAACCATAGCCTGTTCTCGTGACGTGGCGGCCAGGGTGATGGTGTTCGCAGCTCTTCACCGCGTTAATCCAACACACAAGTGTTAGGACCGCGAACTTCACTCCTCAAATGGTTGCATAGCATCAGGTCTCTGAACACCCATTGTTCCATGCATGTGTGGTGTGGTTGAAAGCCTTGGAGCCTTAGGGTGGCAAATAGACCAAGTTCTCTGGTAAATCTGGACCCCCCCCGTTCCCATCCTCCACAACACCGTTGCGTTGTTGTACCTTCGGGATTCCTAAGAAAGTCATTGATCAAACAGTTTCTCTTTCACACCTAGGCAAGGCCTGCCAGGGCTACATGAAAACATGTCTCATCAATCGTTGCCGGATCCGAACTGCAAGTCTCCACGTCCCACACGAGCCATCGGGTACATGTGGCCTTGCACCTGTTGGGTGTAAAGGAAGACGGGCTCCAAGATCTCAAGCCCGTTCTTTTTCAGAAACCTCACTTTGGTTGCGCGAGGTGGCGACGAAAACGGTGGGAATGTACTACTGGCCACGGCTGGCACTTCGCAATACTTCGCATGTGGTGGAAACTGTGCGGTTGCACCATGTCGAGGTCAGAACCTACCGACTTGGAGCCAAGCTTGACCAATGATGGGAGGAACTGGTACTGTAGGCCCATTCAAGAATCAACCTTGACTGCATCATACTGCATCAGTCTGGAAATGGCACAGGCAATGAACCGGACCAAATACCGTGCATCATTCATTACAGACATAGCGCTCTCGGGAACATCTTGAGAAAAAATGGGTCCATCGTTAAGTATGCGTACATGGGTGTGTATTGGAACACGGTCACCCACTCCCCAGTAGGACCCGCCGGAAGCACAAGGCAGGGCCGACCTGCTTTACCGGGCCGACCTGCCCTCACGCTGGTTGGCCGCGAGTCGAGGCAGTCCACTCCAAACAAGAGACTCCGTGGCTGTCATGTCAATCTTGCTCCAATCTTTGGGCTTTGGCGGCAGACCATAGGGAAACTTCCCGAAGATGCTCTCGTGCAGCCTGGGAGGGGGTGATGTCCACGTTCTATCCGGCAAATCGTTTTTTTGGCATGCCAGTGCGCGAACGAAACAAAGCTTTACACACCTGCGAGCTTATGCGAGCACAAGTATGAAAGCACATGCGTGAGGGCGCATACACATGAGACCCCGCATGTACAAGCGAAGATATGAAAGCGCGCGCACACACAAGAGGGCACACATGAGAACGCGCTCATGAGAGCGTGCAAATGAGGCACACATAGGCACACATATGAGACCACAGATCTGCGAACAGCAAGCACAAAGCCACACATATGAAGGCGTACATGAGAGCACACATATGAGAGCACAAATATGATAGCGCGCATGCGCAAGCAAACATGTGGGAGCACACACTTGATGCTTACACTCCGCCTCACTAACACGGAAGAGGAAAGCCCCCTGTTTGTAAAGGACAGTAGCCTTCCTTTGTGTTTGTAAAGCCCACTTCCATGTTGGTGAGTCAGAGTGTACATATGAGAGCCCACACATCAAAGACAATATGAGAGCACACGTAAAGAGCACGCGCACACACACACACACATGAGAGCAGCACAGGTAATTAGAGAGAACACGGTCAAAGCACATGTGAAAGCACACGCATGAGAGGACATATGTTAGAGAGCGCATGCCGCATGAGTCACACCGCACACGTCTGAGACCACAACGCGTGTATGAGAGCAAACGTACAAGCAAATAACTATACAAATGAGGCACACATATATGAGACACATGAGAGCAAACGTGCGAGCACACGTGTGAGGGGCACACACATGAGAGCACTATGGCATATGAGAGAACAAATGTGAAAGGTGAACATCCTGTGCACTATTTTGGAAGATGTGGACAGCTTCATCTGTGTAAGACATTCAATTAGACTCGCACGGAGGGATTTCTTGTACGCTTAACGGCTTTCAGGTGTGGTTCCACCACCGTCAGAAAATGTCTGAAGACTTTGGACTCACCATGATCACGGATCATGGAGAGTTAGTTCGGAAGTCCAATAACCCTCGATCACATACCGTATGTTCCGATCAAAATGCAAGTTTCCCAAAATGTCCCTGCATCTCCTTGCATTTCTTGGACCAGCTGCTGATTATACTTGATCAGCGCAGAAAAGATGGGTACATTCTGGAGGCTGTCGGGCAAACAGCGGCAGCACTTCCACGTGGTTTTCATCTCGACCTGAAAGCGATTCCGGGATCCGTAGTTGGCAGACCCAAATGATGGATGATGGAAGGTTCAAAACTGGGACGGCGCTGGTAGAATGATGTTCCAGGTGCTTTTGCCGTTACGGGGCCCCGAGCTCAAGACAGAATCTCCCAGTCACTATGAAGAGAATGTGATGCTTCCTCGTCAGGAAGGGATTGGAAGCGAACTCTGCAAAACGAAAGTTCATAGATTTGAGGCCAAGCCACCTCCTCTAGGACCCGATCCTGATAATCCATTCCTTTGGTATACTTCCGCTTGTCTTCATCTGATCATTCCAAAGACCATCCGGCCGAAAGTGTTCTCCTCATTCGTCGGGTCGTATTCTTTCAGAAGCTTCCGGATGAGCTCGTAACCTGGAATGGGAAGGCGGAAAACCACCTGAACAAGCCAAACGCGCCCAGAGTCTAGTCGATCATGGGACCAACCAACCCCGACCAACCGGACATCCTCTCCCAGCCGGTGGAACAGCCCCTACGCCCTACGCCCAAACCGGTCAGAACACTTGGACAAACACGGGGCGGAACAGCGCACATATTGTCTGGTGAACACCGCGAGCAATTGAGCAAATTGCGGAGTCAAGAAAAAACCTGCTGATGTTCGCCTCCAGCGTTGCATGATGGATATCTGCATGTTTACTGTTCATGAATCAACCCACACCTTCCTCATCAAGCCAAGTCGCTTGGAGACAAGTAGCACGTGCCCAGCTCGTGTGGCACATCCGGCTGGGAGGGATCGATAACAGTGAGCGATTTGCCGCCCACCTGGGCAGAGATCGAAGTCCAGAAGTTCTGGGACACAAACAGTGGTTTGCAATTCAGTGTGGAGTTGTTCTTATTCCGGGAAGTTTGTTGAAAAATAATCCCGCTTCATTGTTGGGTTTGGTGCTCTTATATTGAACTAAGCTTAATCAGCACTATAAAAGTTCAAAGTGCAAGATTTAGCCGAAAAATGCATTGTTATACAAGTGTTTTTTGCAAACAAGACAAACTCAGATCTATGAAATGGATTTCAAGATACCCAAAGGAAATGCAGCAAGCGCGGGCTGCGGGTGTCATAGTGTTGCAGTTCACATGGGCATGATGAGGCACAAATATGACCTCTATATGACAGCACACACATCAGAGCAAACAAGCCTACATGTGAGAACACAAATACGAGACAGCACACATATGAGCATGCCACGAAATCCACACTTCAAGGTTCACAAATTGCTGCACACAATATGAGTGTCCTACAAGATTGTGCGACAACGGCGTCCTATAAGTGTTGCAATAGAGTTGCACGAAAAAATGTCGCGCCCCACAAGAGCTTGTATTGCCGCGTTGTCCCACAAAGTGTCCTACAAGATTGTGCTACAAGAGTGCTTCTTAAGGGTGTGGCAATCAAAAGTCTGTCAAGAAAAGTGTCGCAGGAATGTGTCCCACAAGTGTGTTCGACAAATCCACAAAGATTGCGCGACAAAAGTGTTCTAGTCTAGTGTGGCGTAAGAGTGTCAAGCAAAAGTATCGCGCACAGGCGTCCTACAACAAAATGATCCTGTCCGAGTGATTGAAGAGTGTTCTACAAGCAGCTGCAGTAAGAGTGTCAAAGAAGGTTTGGCTCAGAATGCGTTTGCGTACGTGTGTGTTTTCGTCGCTTTTGGTCTCGCATTGTTGGTTTCGATCTTGGTTGCTCCACGTGTTGATTCATACTGATCTGGGCGGGTTGAGATTTGCAACTTAGTTCAAGCAAACAGTAGAGCCAAGTATTGTAAAGTACCCACCATGTTCAACAGGTCTCAGAATTCACACTGGCACCCGGACTCAAACGCCTAGGGCCTGAGAAGTATCACCACTTTGGAAAACGCCATCAATTAGTTCACAGATTCGTCCGCAGATGCTTTACGCTCAGCAAGCGCACGCGGGGGTCACAAATTCATCCCTATATTATATATGTACTGATTTAGACCACCAGTACTATCACCAGTGAGCGCCCAGCCATCCCCAAAACATCAATGACCATCCCATTCAAAATCAAAAGACCTGAATCATCATTGAGCGAAACGGTTATATAACGAAACAGTCCTGAACATTGCAGCCGCCCTGCCTCCGCCTCAGCCTCCAAGAGGGTGACCTGTTTGAAGCCCTTGGTCGCCAAACAGGCTGACATGTGAACACCAGCAGGTCCACCACCTACGATCACCACGCGCTTCTCCTTGCTGAGCTCCAAGCATGACCTTGGTCCGCTTTCTGAATTCTGGATCTACTGTAATCCTGCATGGGACCGTATTGAGGAACGAGACATGAACTTGAGAAAGGATCAACAAAAGCCAGTTGATAATTATATACCAGTATGCAGGTCCTAGTTATAAGGTGAGAGGGTGTAAGAGGCAAGGGGCAGTTGACAAAGTACAAATACGAAGAGGCTGTGTATGAACGTGTATGAACATACTGCGGCCAAAGTCTACAAGGACATAGCCCAAAGCGACCCGCAAGCATGCTTCCAAACAAGCAGCACTGTGGTACACCAGCAGACCCGCAGCACACCAGCAGCAGACCAGCTGACACCATCAGGCTGCAGAAACAGCACACCAGCGCAGCAAACCAGCAGCACCCCAGTAGCAGCCCAGCAGCACACCAGCAGCAACCCAGCAGCAGGAACAGCGGCAGCAAACCAGCAAAGCATGAGCAAAAGATCAGCAGCGCCACCAGCAGCAACGAGCAATGCGGCTCTGATAGCCGAACATTGTTGATGCCAACAATTCCACTGCTTTTGCAACTTGCATTTTCCGCATCACAAAGTCGACCGACATGGGCTCTACCAGAAAGTAAAAGCACCATTAAGTCTTCAGGTTTAGTCATCTCGCCATCTGCCCTAGCACACCAAATAGATTAAATAGCCCACTTCGTTCGCAGAAACTGACTTCAGCCATTCGCCTGTCGGAAAACTGGCTCTCGTAGACTGACTCGAATGAATGCCGACTGGTCATTCCTAGCTTCTGGCGTCGATCGCTTAATCCGCGACGGGTTCCCCCCTAAATCCCCGCCATTCCCAGCGACGGGAGCAGTTTGGTGTTGGGATTCGGAAAGTCTTCTGAGATGGAGGGGAAGAGCACCTCCAGCAGCCCCATGGCGTCAACCACGGAGAGGAATCACAGCACCGGGTCTGAGTCAAATGGCTACACAGGTCTCACTGTGCGAGGTGGATCATACAGTGTATACAGCCTCTTGACTTTCTTGACGAAAGTCAACTTCACAGCTTGGGTCCTAAACCAAGCGCGTTGCATAGTACAGTGTTTGTTTTCTTGGGGATGACGAACAAAATGCAAGTGAACTAGCCTGGGCTCTGGGCTCTGGTACATGTTCTGGCTGCTTGTCATGTGTCTCCAAGATAAAGTTTGTCAACGTGTCAACGGCTGGACTTGTCTCCAAATAAGGGAATCCCCCAACTAACAATGGATGAATTATCAGCATCCCTTCTGAAAAGGAGACCGTCAAAGGATTTTGGAGAACTTGTCTGCCAGATTTGGGAGCTCTGAGCACTCCACATATGTTCAACCCGATGTGGGCTGCCCGTGTCCGTTTTTTCGGGGGCCTGCGCTCTGTTCATCACTTTCGTTGTGTTCGTTTTCAGTTGCTCACTCTGGCAGGTTCATGGGCTGAGGCCAGGGCCGTCGAAGTCCAATGCGGTCAGCGTAGTATGCGAAACGAAGCTAAGCTATAAGCCGGGCTCCTCTTTTGCAAGATGGTTTCGAGTGCCTTGATTGCCTTGAAAGGAATAAAATGATGGCTTCCAAACAAGCTTGCAGGGGCGGCCCGCCATCAACAACCTAAAGTTTGCCATGGCCATCAAGAACTCAAGAGCTACTTGTCAAGTTGCCTGGATTGTTCGAGCCATTCGTGCACTGGCTCACAAAAGCAAAGTCCGAACATGACTGCTTGAGGATGTGGGTAAGCACGTTACTCCACATTCTTCCGGCACTTCTTTCTGCTTCGCACTGATCTTTGAACATCATTGAACTATGCTCCTTTATCGACCCGCCTGAGCAAACCTTCATAAACCTTGTCGCGCCCCCATCCCTCCTCAACTTTACCCACATTTTTCCTCGTCCAAATCACGCTCTAAGGGGATGTTGTGGGCCTCACCTCCATTTGGAGGTTGGCAAAGGTAGATCTTTGATCTGTATAGACATAGAGCTACAGTAAATAAATCATTCCATCATCTGGCCAAATTTGCTTCGTCTGCTCTTGAAAACTCCTTCGCCGATTCTGCTCCTCATGTGCATCATCCCTGATTATTTTAGAACATCTGTTTGTAAATTCTTTGTTCCGGAGATGCTCGTCGTCGACTTTCAAAGCCATGGGCCACGGCACCGCACTCAGGCACGTGGGGGGGTGGCTCCTGGACGCAGACGCACAGAGAGCGTGGCCTCAGTGGAGGGCGAGCAGGGCGAGCAGGGCGAACAGGGCCCGGCGGTGTTCTGCTCCTCGAACTTTTTGGATCGCAAAACACAGGATTTTGATGGATTTGGTACAAGCTCGCACCATGTTGCACAATGCTCTGGTCAAAGGGTAGCAGCCAGCAATTTGAGCAAAGAGTTGGGGATGTTGGCACCTTTCTGAATTCCGTGGAAAACCAAGTGAGGTCATCTATGTCATTAGCCCAATGCCAGCACGTAGGAGGTCTGGCTTGGCGGCAAGTACAAGGTTTAAATTTTTGATATGGTTTGAGGCTTGAGCTTCAAACTTCTGGCTGAGTAGCTTGGCAGAAGTCACCAAATCTGAGACCAAATCGCTTCAAGTCGAATCTCTTGCTTCCATAGTGAACGTGACCTCTGACCGTAAATTCAACAAGTGCCCTCCCTATGCCCCCAAGAATCCTCACAGGCGCCACCATTTCATCCACTCCATCGGTTTCACTTGAAAGGAATCCTTCAGCTGAGTGGCGTTGTACACATCCACGATGCCGTACAAGGGATCAAGTCCTTAGTGACTGAGCGGCAGATCCCACACACACACACATCCCTACCGGCACCCGCATCCCGCTGCACCCTCGAACGCACAGTTCCGAGCCATGCTGATCCATAGCTAATCTCTCACACCACTTCTGAGGCCCCATAGTTCTGTGAAAACCCGATGGAACCCCTGTTTTGACCCTTTCTTGCTCTGAGGTGGCAACCCAAACCCTGCAGCCTCAGCTCGTCTCCCAGGACACGAGCTACCTGGAAGCCCCAGGCGTGTGGCAGGTTGGAGGTTCATCTTCGGCTGTGGGGAGGCTCGTGACCTTCTTCTGGGTTGATTCTCAATCCAGCAAAACAAAACCCAGTCCTTAGTGATGTTGGGTCTTGATCCACGGGCACATCTTAGTAAGTGCACATATATATATATACATACATGCATAAACACATACCATATACGTTAAAAGCTAGATACAGATACACGTTTATGTTCTCACAACGGTTCGAATTCCAGCCGGATGTTCACTTGTTATTATCCATTTCTTCGCATATAAGTCGTGGGGTTGACCTACGACTACCGCACCCATCGCGCGAGTCCCCCCCCCCGAATCCTCCTGGCCATCGACGTTCACAGCCAAGTCATTCGTTGTGCCTTGGCCGTGGAATCGCAAACCTTGCCCTGAAAGCGCCGAAACCCAATCACCGCAGATAGATTGGAAGCATATATATATATATATATACACGTCAGGAGACTGCCTTTTTTAGCTTCCTGAAGCCATTGAGGCCAGGTCTGGAGACATCTGCTGGTCCGCTGCTGATTTCAGCGCGGATCCATCAAGGGAGGTTCACAGTGCAGCCAACCGCTTGCAACAATTGACAAGGCTTCTTTCGTTGGCGTTTGTTGATGGTGCGTCAAAAAATAGAACCCTAAGTCGCCTTCAGCGTTTTTGAGACAGTTCTCATTTGAGGATATCGTCATGTGGACCGATCACTGCTTCGCTCAATTGACTCAAGCATGCTCAAGCGCAAATCTTCTTGCAAAGCATCAAGTTGTAAGCCACAACATCCAGCGCACTCCTTGGTTCAGCCGTTTCTTCCGTCAAGAGCGTCTTGCATCAAGAGGTTTCCATCATTGATTAACCTGGACGGCCCCGAATTTGCTTTCTGACAATTAAAATAACGAGGCACTCGAAACACACTGACGAACCGATGAAGACAGTGTTTCTCTGGCCCTGCAAGTCCAAAATCTTCCATGGAAGGCCTGGGAAAGGCTTAACACGAGGCCGGTGAGGGGAGGTTGGCCAAAGACCTCCTCCACCGGTGGCAAATTGAAACACAATGAACTACTCACCTACTAGTCTTATGCCATCAGGCCGTGGAAGTGCTTTTGTCGGGGGTGTGCTTTTCCAAATGGTCGCAGCAACTCATGGTGCTATGAGGTTAATAAGCTGGAATGGCTGGGCACCTGGATGGACAAAACCCCCACAAACCAAATCCCGTGCGGGGTGTCTATTTAACAACCGGTTCTGGGTCTATGTGCGTACATTCCCACCGTTCCTGTCGCGCACCTTCTCTAAGTAAAGCATTGCAAAACCCTACAGTATGTAAACCAAAAACCCTCCTCGCCTTCTCGCAGGCCTTTGGCATCAAAACGCGGGAAGTAGTCCCATGGTTTCTGGATCAAGACGTCCACCTTCCTCGTTCCACATCCGGGCGCGGCATTTCCCGGTTCCAGATTCCAGATTTGGGGGGGCGGGGCTGGCAGGTTTGGAAGGCTTGAAGGTGACAACGTTGGAGGCTGAAAAGCTAGCATTCCTTCAGTGGGCCTAAAGCTTTCAATAGGTTCAAGCCTGAAAGTGGGATCTGGTCTTTGCCGTCCATTGTTGGAGAATGAGTGACTTACGAATTAAACGGCCCAAAAGGTTAAAAACAGAGAGCTGCCTTACTTCGAGCGATCCCCACCCCAGGCGGCGATTCAAGAAGGGCACATGTATTGACAGACTACCCTGACAAACGTTCTGTAAAACATGCGCATTGACACAATTCTGACACCTGTTCTGCCAACCACTTCTGGTATGCATACTGACACATCTGTCATGTTTAAAGGCTGGGAAATGTTTTGGTCAGTGTTCTGACGTCCTCGTTGGCATGTGTTCTGGCATTTGTCCTGCCGTGTGAAGTCTGGCTGGTCCGACTTCGGTTCTGATGATATGTGTTCTGCCATGTACTGCGCGCATTTGCTCTGCCATCATGTGCTCTGAAAGAGTTGCTAGAGTTTCTGACATAAGACTTTGCGTTCAATCTGGCAAGTATACTGACATGAAACGCGCATATCTTCTGGCATCCTTGCTGGCATCCTTCCCACCCAGCGATCTCGTATATGTGTGGCATTCTTTCCATGGTTAGTTCTGACATCCTTTCCGGCATGCTCCCTGGCAAAAATTATGGCACTCTAACTGGTGAATCTTCTGGCATCTTTGCATATCTTCTGACATCCTTTCGGCCATATCTTCCGACAATATCTTCCGACAACCTTTCCAGCAGCCTTCTGTGTTGCGCTTCTTTCTGGCACACCTTCTGACACCCATTCCGGCGCTCTACCTAGCATATCTTCTGACATTGTTTCTGGCTTCTGGCATTCTTTCTGCAATTCTACCTGCCATGTCTTCCGGAACTGGCGTATCTTTTGGCGAGCTCATGGGATCTGGTTTTTGCTGTCGTGCCCAGCCTGCCTGCAACAC